AGGCATCTTCTCAGGGAAGCCTTCTGTGAAGAGCCTAAGCTTCCACTGTCACAGCATTTGTCAGACTATATGGAGTCTTCTTCATCAGACTGTGAGCTCCTTGAGGGTAGAGAGAAAATAAGCTTGTGTCTTATTTTGTCACATACCAGGCCTGTGGACATGTACAAGGTCTGTCCAGAGAAAGTCCAGCCATTGTTAATATAACAAGAACAGTTTGTGCAACATCAGTGTAACCTGGCAGCTAAGGAGAGTGGACTGGAATACATATGCATGAACAATGATGACTTCACTGCACTAGTCAGTCGGGGTGGTAGACACCGTTGAGTGAGCATATGTACTGTGTGGCTGTTGCATTCAAAATGACTGAGTGAGTAGAGCAATGAATCAATACCAAATTTTGCAGTAAGCTTGAACATTCCTCCGTGGAAACTATTCAGATGATTCAGAAGGCTGCAGCTATGGGCAACTGGTGATTGGCAGCTTCATCATGACAAGGTGCCCACTCATGCATCACATTTCATGCAGAGTTTTTTTGCAAAACATCCAGTCACCCAGGTGACTCAGCCCCTCTACAGCCCAGATTGGTGCCCTGGGACTTCTGCCTTTTCCCAAAACTAAAATCACCTTTGAATGAGAAGAGATTTCAGACTGTCCATGAGATTCAGGAATATACAATGGGGCAGTTGATGGTGACTGGGAGAACTGTGTGAGGTCAGAAGGTGCCTACTTTGAAGGGGACTGAGACGTCATTGCCTTACATACAATGTTTCTTGTATCTTGTATCATCTTCAATAAATGTCTATTTTCCATATTACATGGATGGATACTTTCTGGACAGACCTCGTATAAGACTTAATATACAAAAACCTCAGTAAATGAATAGCAGGACGTAGTATTACTATTACTAATGACAATGTATTGTAACTAGTGGTAACAGCATGTGCCGCTTATTGTGCCGGGGCCCCCAGGTTCGCCTGTTCAGGCGTGAGAGGTCCGTCCCATCCTGACTACTCCCTTACCCTCTCCACCTGTGTCTGGTCTGTCCCAAAGCCTGCCCTCTGTGACTACTAAGTGTTCTTCAAATCTGCACTCTTGCCCATGGGCACTGCTTCTTTCTTGGTCCAGCCCAGCACTATCTCAAAACAGATGACTGCAACAGCCTCCCCCTGGTCTTCTCTGCCTGAGTCTTGACCTCCAGTCCATTCTCCTTTCCTGGGGCTACAGCAATGTTCTAAAATGCAGACCTGGTCACTGGCATGCCCCAGTTTAAAGCTTTTCTGTGGTTTTCCTTTGCCCTCAGGCTCTCAAGGCCCATCTGAGTCTCTGCCTCGCTCTCCAGTCTGATCTCTGGTCTCTCACCCCTACCCTCACACTCTTCTTCAGCCTTTCTGTCCCACTTTCCTCTTACATCCCAGCCTGAGGTCTGAAGTCTGTGTAGGCTCCAGGTGGGGTTGTGGGAGTCTGGCCTATGTGGGGGGCTGGGAGGATACAGGGAGCCTCAGGAAGGAAAGTGGGTGAGGTTGTAAAGGAGACCCAGGAGATTTGACCTCAGTGAGGGTATCACGATGTTCACGCCCTAATAGGTGCCTGGGGCTACTCGTAGGATTCTGGGAGTAAAAGAAATACCATGAGACACAGACTGTTAGGAAATCTGGGGGGCATCCAGTCCTGCTTTAACTTACCATTTCATTGAGCATTTAATATGTGGCAGACACTAGGCGTATTACATATTATCTGATACAATTCTACAAGAACCCCAAGATGTAGAGATTATTGCTCGTCCCATTTAGCATATGTGGAAACTGAGGTCTGCAATGGTTAAGAAACCTGTCTAAACTCAGGCTGCAAATGAAAGCCAAATTGAATTTGAACTCTGACCTATCTGACTCCAAAGCCAGGGTTCACTGAGTAAGGGAGGTTTTGAGGGGGATGAGACTTGTTTAATTTTAATGCTTTTCTATCTCTATACAGCCCGAAATGGAACCAATAGTCTTTTTCAAATAAGAACTTGCCCCACTAACAGTCTTTTTTCCTGGTTAGACATCACAGCCAAGGGCCATTAACTTCAAAAGGTCTGGGAGAGAGGACCCACTTGGCCCCTGGCTCGGAGGGGGAGATGTGGGTACCGGTGGCTGGGTTGAGATCTGATGGTGGAGTGGGAAGAGAAAGCAGAGCAGGCCTGAGGCCAGGGCAGGAGTGGGAGGGACCCAGAGGCCGGAAGGGAGTAGAAGGGAAGGGTGGGAGATATGGGACTTTGTCTCCTTCTCCATGTCTCTCAGGAGAGGCCCCGCTGGCTCCCTGGACCCTGTCCTAACTCCCCTTGGACCCCTGAGAGTCTGAGTGTATGGGATCAAAAACACACCTTAGATTGTGGAAGCTTAAAATGATAGAATCTTAGAACCACAAAATTGTACAATTCCAGAGGCTTCGTGATCTAATGAAATGTAGGTTCTTAGAAACATTGAATTTTCAGATCTTGAACCTTGGAAACCTAGAACTTTGGAGTCTTAGAATTTTGAAATCATAGATTTATAAACTATCTGTGCAGAAAACCTTTGAAAGTCAAAGCTCACCCCTTACCCCCACCACACGCGCGAGCGCGCGCGTGCACACACACACACACACACAGACACACAATTTATTTTGCAGATGGGGCCTAGAGAAGGGAAGAGTCTTCCTCAAGGTCCCGGTGAACTGGTGCCATGAAGAGCTAGAGCTTCTTCCATCAGCCAGCCACCTACAAGGACTGGGCTAGTGCCAGGACCGCAGGGACAGAGGCAGAGGGAGAGGCGTGGTGGGGGGGGGCCTGCGGTTGCAGGAGGCCTCCTGGGGCTGAGGGATGGCCTGCCAGGCCCCCCACACTCTCAGCTGCTGCCAGGTCTGTTGGTGGGGGCGAGGGGCCTCCTGGCCTTGCCACCTTTCTCTCTGTCTTCACGCTCTGAGCAGGCGGCAAGGGGGAGGGGGTGCCGATTGGCACAGGGGCCAGGCTACAGGGTTGCCCTAAGAAAGGTGGCACAGGGTTTCTTCAGCAACAGGGCTGAGACCTGAGGCCATGGCAGTGTTGCAATTGCCCCTCCCTGGTTGGGGGAGGGGGCTGAGGAAGAAAGACATTATTCAATCCTTGGAGAGTTGGTCTGGCTCTGACAAGCACCCCAGCTGGGCCAGTGTCCCGCCCTCTCTGCCAGCGGAGGCTGAGAGATAAACACTGCTCATTCGATACGGCCAGCCAGGGCCTTGCTGGGAATAGGATCTGCTGTCGGATCCCCTCTTCTACTTCGGGGGGCTGGGAAGAGGATAGGGAGGGAAGTAAGCTGTGTGTTCCTCAGTCCCCAGTGGGCATAGAAACACGGACTCTGAGAGCTTTGTGACCATGGCCTCACACCTTTGTTCTGGGAGGCCCAAGAGACAGAAGGAGCCAGATGGAAGCCCATTTCAGTTTCTTACAAAGGCAACTTCCTGAAGGTTGGGGTGGCCCCTGAGCTGCCAGGCTCTGGAGCTGTGTGTTTGGGGGCTGAGCCCCAGCCTACCCCAGCACTGAGAAGGAATTCCAGTTTTGTGGGTGACCCCCCCAAAGTGTACTGCTCTAATACTCAGTGATTCAGGGAGTTCAATGTCTATTCAAGTTGGTAACTTCCATCCTGCAGGGACATTGTTGCCATGATTATCATGATAATAGCATTCAACTGAGTGTCAGGAACTGAGCTAAGTAAGCATTTTACAAGCACGGTCCAATTTAATTTTAAAAACCAGAATATTAATGAGGTCATTAATATAAAGAGAAGATAGTCAATAAATGTTGGTTCCTTTCTCTGTATTTTGATCTCATTTAACTCAACAACACTCTGTGGACCCTTCACTTGTGCTGGTGCTCCTAGTTCCTCCGTAAAAGAGCTCAGATTATTCTTTAGGTAATGTAGAGTTTTCCTATAGGAGTGATAGCCTCCCTTCTGGGTTGTAAAAGTCAGCAGATACCGAAGTGGAGGAGGGTAGCCAGGGATAGGGCCGGAGGCGAGTCGGAGGGGTGGAGCCGGGAGCTACACCGGCTGGGCTGCCGCTGCTGGGCCGTGAGAGGATGAGAGGTGAGTGCTGGTGGGGAGTAGAAAGAGCCTGGGAGACTGCTTGGGGGAGGCAAGAGAGGGGCGGGGGTTTCAAGAAAGAGGATCGCAGGAGAGCTGTCAATCGTCCTGAAACAAATTATTTCAAACATTTTTAGAAGTGTTCATCTCCACGTTGACAACTGATATGCAGATGACAAAAATAATTGATGTGCAGTCAGACACAGTAACCAATTGACTGCAGTCGTACCGATGACTGTTTTTAGGGATATTAAAGTCACTTTCTGACCTTTGACGGGGCAGCACTTGGTTTTCCCAGTTCAAGCACTTTCCATCACAGCTGCCTGTGATCCAGGGACACGGTGTGTGGTACTGTGTGGCACGGAAGCAGGAAAGCTGCTGCGGTGAGGGAGAGAGGATGAAGGGGAGCAGCAGAGGACGGGGCGGCCGGGGGTGGGGGTACAGAGATGTGGTAAATAAATAAGCAAAATGAGAGACAGGAAAAGGAAGTAAGTGTCTTATGAGTGCAGAAGGAGCATGTCAGGAAACTCAGGCCATCATCCTGACTTGCTGCGAGACCTGAGAGGTGTGATTTATCCTCTCTGGCCCTCACATTATTCATCTAATCATCATAACTAACGTTTATACCACAATTTAAATCTGTAAAGTACTTTTACTGCTTCATCCCTTAATTGCCCCATGAAAGAAGTGTTAAGGTTCAGAGAGGGGCAGTGACATGCCTGAAGTCACACAGCAAGTGAGCAGTCACGCTGAGATTCGGACTCCTGTGTTCAGGCACCCTGACTGGGAGAGCATGTCCAATGGATTCCCTTTTGCCTGAGCAGCCAGATGACATCCTTCCTAGAACCAGAAAGGAGGAGGGATGAGGCGGGGTCTTAGGGCGGGAGCCTCCTGGGACTGACAGAGCACTGGTTGGTTCGCCAGGCCCAGACATGTTCTGCCTTTTCCACGGGAAGAGATATTCCCCCGGCGAGAGCTGGCACCCCTACTTGGAGCCACAGGGACTGATGTACTGCCTGCGCTGTACTTGTTCTGAGGTATGTTCCTCTGGCCACCTGGCCGCCTGTGTCAGGTATGTCTGGGAGACGTCCAGAGAAGTCACCCTAGAGGGAGGGAGGAAGCCTGACTGGAGGTCAGGAGCGCTCTGGAATCAGAAACTTGGGGCCATGCCGCTGTACTACCGAGTGCTCAGTGCCCACTACTGCTGCTGCGCACCTCTCAGAGGTAAGTTTCACAATGACGGGTCAGCTCTGGTCCCAGCCTTCTTTCCACCTCTGCTGATGCCAGCCTCCCTGCCACCTGTGTAGCAGAAAACAGCCCTTCTGACCTGGCTGCCCAGTCCTTCCTTTCCTGGTACTGTTTCCTCCAGCCCTCTTGCCGCACTGCCTTAGGAGGCATTCCCCAGTTCCGCTGCTCCAAAGGGCTTGCTCCTCAAGGCTCTGACCAAATGCCACCTCCACCAGTAGCCTCACTCAATCCCTCCCCTGCAAGTATTTTCTTCTTCTGGGATGCCACGTAAGTGTCTCCGTCCCTTTCTCCCGACCACAGTTGGCCAGGTATAATAGCTCCTGTGTCTGTCAGTGACTGCTCCTCCTTAGTGGAGCCCCTGAGAACAGGTTATCCTGGGCACTCTCTTATGTATGTCCAGTTCAGTGTCCTGCCGAAGGCTGAACAAACCGGGGCAGAGACCATGTCTCTTTGTTCACCTCTTCTCCCTGCCACCCCCACTCCAACCCAGCACCCTCCACAGGGTCTTATACAATTAACAGGGTAGAACAAATGAGACCTCCATGTAATCTCAGGCCAAGTATGAGGCTGGAAGGGTAGGGAAGTGGGGGATGATTTAGGAGGCTTGAAACGTCCTTGGTTTTGCTTCACTGCCTGGGGCCCAGCCTGGTTGACATAACATCCTCATCAGTCTGTCTGGAACTGGTACCGGGGGCAGGGTGTCCCTAGCTCCCAGCTGGGGCCCGTACCTTACACCTTCTCTTTTCCTTCAAAAGCCAAGAGGGGAATGCAGAAGGCCAGTAAGAGCCTCCCTGGCTACAACCATCCTCAGCTTGGGTGGGGGGAGCAGAAAAGAGCGTCTGAAGAGACATTGGGAGGTAGACAGGGTGTGGGCCACCCCCTCTCCTGACTCTGATCACTGGGGTCTCCCTCCTCCTGGGGCCTTTCTCTCCGACACCCTGCTATGTCCACCACGTTGGCTCCAGGTGGAACTCTGGCGCCAGCAGGACACAGCCTTCCATGACTGCCTCCCTCTGGTTTTCCGTAGCACATCTGAAGCCAGTCAGCTTTTCAAAAAGAACTTTATGAAATACAGCCAAAAAACAGGAAGGAAACCAAAACAGAAAATTCCAGACATATTATGTGGTCCAGTTGACAAAGTCCAAGTTTTGTAATCCACGGAAGCTAATTCGTTTCTTTCTCCTCAGAGCTGTAGTCAACATCCCCAAAATATACCCTGAACCCCTTCACTTCCCTCACCATCGTCACCCCCTAATTCAGCCACCTTCCCCTCTCCCCTGGATGCTACGTGAGCCTCCCAGCAGGCCTCACTGCCCCTTCTCGAAATCCCTCCTTCGCACGGGAGCTAGAAGGATCTTTGCTGAACCTGAAACTGATCGTGTCGTCCCAGAAGCCCCTGAAGCCCTCCAGGAGCTTTTCTGTGCACAGAAAACAGAATTCGCCTTCCTGCTGTGGCTCCATGCGGCCTGACCTCCGCCTCATTCTCCAGCCTCGTTTCCTACCTGTGCCAACACTCCCAGCTCATTCCTGCTCGTCCCTCCTCCTAGAATGGGCTTCCCCTGGATCTTCTCTCAAAGGGTCCTTCTCGTCTCACAGACCATAACATAACTGTTACCTCCTTATGAGGCTTCCTCTGCCTGCTGTTTCTAAAATAGTCCAACCTTGTGCACTCAATCACATTACTCTAGGTGATTATGATCTTGTTCCTCTGTGTTTATTTTTTATGGTCTGTCTCCCCCTGCAAGGATGTAAGCCCCATGAGAGCAGGAACCTATCAGCCTCACTCACTGCTACGTCGCTGGCACTCCAAGGGCGTGTAGTAAATGCTGAGTGAATGCACGAGTGCCCGACCCCAGTCAGCGCAGCAGCACGGAAAGCGCACAGCCCTGGAGGTGGTGCTTACCTGCTATGTCATCTTACACAACTGAACCTCTTGGAGGCTCTTTTCTCATTTTGAGAGTGTGGATAATGGTATCTACCTCTAGATGCCATCCTTCGTGAGAGGGTGAAGTGAGATAATACATTTCTGTATAACATAAAGACCTACCTAGTAGCCACTCAATACATGGTTGTTATGACGTTCCTCAGAGGCACCTTTGAGCTGCAGGGCCCTCTCCCCTTTCAACCCCTAGCCTGTCTCCATCTTCCTTTCTGCTTCATGTCGCTGATCATCTCCAGCCCTTGGATACTTCTAGGCCAGAATCAAGAGATTCTCTCTTTAGGCCGTGCAGTTCCCTGCACTCCACCCTCCTTTCTCGTCTGAGAGCTCAGTTCACCCTCTGGACACTTATTAAGCACCCATGTGTGCCAGGCCTCGAGGAGGCCCCTTTTAGAGCTCAGCTCATGCTGTGGACTCAGTGATGCCTCTTAGCCCAGGTTAGTCCTTGGGAAGCAGTGGCTCCAGAGGAACTAGGGCCCGGTGCAGGGTTCCCCACGGGGTGGGAGGCTGCCTCCGGGAGAAGTGCCCTCAGGGGGCTGAGGTGGGCAAGGATGCTGGAAACAAACTTGCCAACTCCAGAATTTGAACAAAGGTGGCTTCATTCAACTAAGGAAGAGACTATCTATTCCACCCCTCCTGGCTCTCGTCCATTCATTCGAACTATAGTGGGTACTAGCTTGGAGCCAGGCCCTGTGTTGACGATTCAGGGACAAATAGAAAGAGACTTGGTCCTCGTTCTTGGAAAGTCACGGTGAATAGATGACACAGATGTACAAGGGACATTATAACAACAGGGGAGAGTCAGGTGCAGCAGGCCTAGGACTGGAAAAGCTGCCAGAAGGGTTGGTGGAGCCTCTGTCTCCAGCTTCCATCTTTCTCTGTTGTGTTTCTCTGCTCCCTCGTCTCTCATCTGCTGCACTCAAAAAAGTGTACAAACTTCGGGCCCTTCCTTCTCTGGTGCCAACTGCCAGGGCTTTGTGCAGGGTCACGGACCTCCCAGAAATTCAGGGAGTGGACCACGAAGCCCTGAGTCTTCTCCACATCAGGTTTCTAGCCTTGTTCCCATCCCCATCACAGGTCAAAGAACGCAGTCCTGGGGTTAAGATAATATAGCTGAGACCAATGCAGAAGTAACCCAAGGCTTTAACATGTGTGTCTCAAACGTGCCACGAGAGGGACACAAACCCATGCACACCATGCCATCCTCCATGGTCAGGGCGGTGCGTGGATGGGCTGGCCCCATGAGTGTATGGGGAAGGGGAAAGACTGGACGCATGGGTTCATTGTTTCTATCCTGTAACAGGCTTAAAATGAGCGCAGTGTCTGCAGCTAGGATGGGGTTTGGAGACAGGATGGGTTCGGGGGGTGGAGGGGAGGCAGTGGCTCTTTGGAACCAGGACCGACCACAGTGTCCCTTTCAGAGTGCCCAAGTGAATTGTTACCGCCTCCACTGCCCACCTGTCCACTGCCCCCAGCCTGTGACAGAGCCGCAGCAGTGCTGCCCCCGGTGTGTGGGTAAGTAGCCTCCTTCATCCCCTTGTGCCCGCTGACCCCTCTCTCACCCCTGATGCAGGCTTCTGGCTGAGGGAGGTCCCTGAAATGAAAGGGGCAGTCTCTGGTCACCAGAAGTATTGAGGCACAAAGGTCCTCAGGGGAAGAAACCCAAGGAGGCCCGGGTCAGTGGCAACTACTTGTTCTTAAGTAGCTGTGCTTGGCTGGATGGGCTTTGATGGCACTCTCGGGCTCCAGTCGCTCTCTGGCTGGCTGAAGCCAGAGGAAGTGGACCTGCCGGCGTGAGTGAGCTGGGGCTCAGAGGCCCTGCAGGGAGCCCAGGATTATGGCCCTGGATGACCAAAGGAGTTGGAGGACGTGTACTCGGAGATTCCTCCCAGCGCTGAGGGTCAGGGACTCTGTGTGTCCTGATGCTAGATGTCTATGGCTCCATGATGTTAAGATTCTAAGAGTCTCTAAAACTGGGATTCTAAGGAGGAAAGAGAAAGGAGAAGTAGTATGCAAATAAGCTGGCATAGCCCAGTGGCCAATGAGAGGCAGCCAGTCCGTAGGCCAGCTTAGAAGAGTGGGCCGGGGAGCTGTTCAGTGAAGGGTGTGTTCTTAGAAGTCTCAAGAAGGGGGTGAGGGAGGCTCCAGACTATGGCCTCAGCCTCTAGACTCTGGAACCAGGGCTCTGCGGGTGAGCTGGGGGCCTGTGTGGAGTGGTTATAGAGGGGGCTCATTTTCCAAGAGAGGCTGCAATAGGATCTGACCATGGCTCTGCTTGGGTCACAGAGATTCCTGGCTTGGGACTCCCGCAGGGGCAGGAGCTCTGAGCTTCGGCCTGCCAGTGAAGGGGCATCGTACCTCTTCGCTGTCTGAGACTCACTCTAGGGGTCCCGGCTGCTCCTCGCTGACTGTGCCCAGGCCCCTTTACATGCTTCTCTCTCTCTACCCGCTTCGCCTGCCTGGCTCTGCACGTTCTTTGTGACTCAGTTCAGACCATCATTCCCTGACCACCCCCCACCCCAGCCCCAATGTCCCAGCTGAGTTAGTGGCTCCTCCTCAATGTTCTAGCCCTTACCATGTGACAGTGTCACTGCTTATGGCATGTCTCTGTACCAATTAGATTGTGAGTTTCTTGGTTGGAGAGGTTGGGTCTTGTCCGGCACTCCATTCCCAATGCCCAGCACTGTGCCTGGTATAGAGGTGTTTAGTAAAGGTGTCTGAGAAGATAAGTAGGTTCTCTCAGGGTAGGAGCCTTACAGGGTTACCCCTCCACCTGGCAGGATGAGGACTGGCTGATCAGCAGGTGATGGGGAGGGTGGCTCTGGTGGCCAGTAAATGACAGGGGCTTACACCAAGCACAAGGACGGTCTAGTCATCTGATTCCACTAGGATCCAAGTCCACAAGGGACTTCGTTCTGTTCACTGCTGTGTCACCAGCACCTCGAGCAGGTGCACCATAGATGCTTGCTGAAAGTTGAATGAACTAACGCAGGTCCCCACCAAGTGGGGCTCATTGAGCTGAGGCTGTGGATCTTGCCTCTGGTGCTGGTCAGGACCAGCTCAGACACTGGGGGCTGAAAGGCCATGGTGAGCAGCCATGGGAGAGAGTGACCAAGTCAGAGGGAGGTGTCAGCAGGACCTCTTCTTGGTTAGCTGGAATGGGGACTGTCTGGAAAGAATGAGGCCAGAGCTTGATTTAAATGCCAAGATGTGATCAAATGCAAAATCTTCAGAAAAGGTGAATTCTGGCAAAGTTCTTAGATCCGCATGAAACCTCATTTTTTTCTTCCCCCTTCCCCTCCCCACCTGCAGAACCGCACACCCCCTCTGGGCTCCGCGCCCCTCCAAAGTCCTGCCAGCACAATGGGACCGTGTACCAACATGGAGAGATGTTCAGTGCCCATGAGTTGTTCCCTTCCCGCCTGCCCAACCAGTGTGTCCTCTGCAGCTGCACCGTAAGAGCCTCCTGCCTGCCCTTCAGCCCAGGCCAGTGGTCTGAGCGTGAAAAGCAGGGTGGTGGAACTGGGAGGGAGGGAGATTGTTCTCCCTGCTCAAAGCGAAGTGAGAGTGAATGGGCTCGGGGGCAAAGGGATACCAGGGGTTGGCAAGATCCTGCCCTTCTCTGGGCTTCTGTTCCCTCCTGAGCTGCCTTGCACAGCACCGGTCACCTTGCACAGCCATTTGCCCATCTGTTTTCTCCCCAGTTGACTTTGCTCCCCTGGAGGGAAGGGAATGTGCCCAATTCATTTCTTTATCCTCCATAGTTCCTGGCCCAGGGCCTGGCCTACTGAGGGTGTCTTTAATGATTGTTGAATGAATGAATGAATGAATGATCAGTTATCAGTCCTGGGCCACAGAGACAAGGCCAGACTGTAGCCAAGTGGAATTTAATCTGAAGTTGCCTAAACCCCTGATGCTGTGGTCAGAGTTGAGCCTCGGGACAGGCAGGGCAGACTCTGCAGTGTTAACAGTGTACAGACAGTGAAGCCAAACAAGACCTTCTCTGGAGAGCCATCACCCTCCTTCTTTGGGGGGATGTTCTAGGTGTGGCCTTGCTATAAGTTCTCAGGGGGTCAGTATTCCAGTCTTAGCCTGGGCATTGCTCCTCGTCTGTGCGTTGCTGGGAGGAACTCCTGCCCTCCAGTTTGCCTTACTCCCTGATGGCCAACCTTCTCTGGGCCTTGGTTCCTTTGTGTGCATAGGGAGTCCGAGCAGGTGATCTCCAGTGTCCTCTCTGTTTCAAATTATTATCACATTTAGCAGTGAAGCACGGGGAAGAGGTCTAGAGTAGGTGGTAGACGCCTGTGTTGGAGCTCTGGCTCTGCCGTGGTTCCCAGGATGAACTTGAGTTAGCTACTTCTCTCAGACTGCCTCTCTGTCTAGGGCTCTGATCCTTAAAGTGCCCATGCTACTGAGCAAACAACTTACAAATGAGAGTGACTACTTATAAGTCAACTAAGAGAGTGATTACTTTCGCAGGGCCTGACTCTCTTGTAGTGGCCTACTCTATTATATCTGCTAGATTCATAGAAATGCCTCATGTTTATATACAACCTCCCAGTGACCCTAGGAGAGGGATATCGGATGAAGAAATTGAATCTCAGGGCAGTTAAGCAACTTCTCTAAGGCCACACAGCTAGTTAAGTGGCAGCACCAGAATTCAGACCCAGGGCTACATGACTCCAAAACCCATGGTCCTTTCCCTGTGTCGTGCTGCTTCCTATGAAGCAGCAAGGGCCTGGGTTAGGGAGGGGCTGTGGGAAGAAACAGAAATGATGGTGGTGGGGGTGAAAGGGTTCTTGTGATTTCTTGTCCCTTCTCCCTGGATAATTGGGTCTCCCCTTCCTTCTTCTCATACCTATTTATATGGGTCTGACTTCACTCCTGGCCTTGTCTGAGGGATCACAATCCTTTTTTTTAAGATTGTATTTATTTACTTTTAGAGAGAGGGAGAAAAAGAAGGAGGGAAACACTGATGTATTAGAGAAACAGCCATCTTGCATGCCTTCAACTGGGGACCTGGCCCGCAACCCAAGCATGTACCCTGACTGGGAATTGGACCAGCAATCTTTTGGTTTGTAGGACGGCACTCAATCTACTGAGACACACCAGCCAGGGCAGAATCCTTATTTTTGAGGCTCATTGAAAAAGGAATAGGGAAAGACTTGAAGTAATATCACTTCCTCCCATTTTTAACATGTCTTACGTTTTTAAGTGTCTTACATTTTAAAAAGGGTTTTCACAACTGTCCCCTCACTTGATCTTCATGACCCAGATGGGTGTGTGCCCATTTTACAGAGGAGGAAACTGAGGCCCAGAGAAGAGAAGTGACTCATCAAAGGTCATCTGAACCCCTGATTCCCAGAAGGCCCTTCCCCTGCAGTGTTGCTGTCCAGGCTGGGTCCTGAAGTTGCAGACCTAGGGTTTTCAGTGAGAGCAAGATGAGCCCAAGGTATCCCCCACCCATGTTTCTCCCTTTATGCTGGGCCCCCCTCCTAGGCCAGGGGAGAAGGATGTTGATTTTGGTAGGAAAATCCTAAAGACTGGGCTCTAGTCCATTCTGCCCAGCTGTGTCTCTGACTTCAGGAAGTGTAGACCCCTCTGCAGGCTCTCCCCATCTGTAGGACGGAAGGGCCCAACTCACTGAACGGCGGTGAGAGCCTAGGGAGAGACAGGGTGTGAACTTATTAGAAGCTGAAGGGTGAATGCTGCGTCAGGGCCCGGAGTAGGAGTGAGGAGGGCAGAGAGGACCCCTCTTCGGAACTGGCTGGGCCTCGCCCAAGTTGGTCTGCTGCTCCCTCCATTTCCAGGGCAGGGGCCTTTCCCAGCCCCAAGGCTGAGCTTCATCAGATTTCATCTCCCAGCTCCTGTTTGTTCTGTCTGTCAGGAGGGCCAGATCTACTGCGGCCTCATGACCTGCCCGGAACCAGGCTGCCCTGCACCCCTCCCGCTGCCCAGCTCCTGCTGCCAGGCCTGCAAAAGTGAGTCTGTCCCTAGATCGGGCAGTACCCACCCATCCCACCCCAGAGACCCAGCCATGGATTGTGAAAGCAGCGGGGAGCTCAGGGGACACAGCATGTAGCAGACCCTTCCTTCCTCAAGGGGTGGGGGGCGGGGGAGGGCACTGAGCCCAGCCCTCCCAGAAAGCTGAGCCTGCTGCAGAAGCTGATGTGCATTTTTTATTGCAATCCCAGGGAGCAGGAAGGAGGGACAGGGGAGTAAGGCAGGAAAGGAGGGAGAAACAATGTAAGAATGCCTCTGCTTGGTATCAAGTGTGACCTATTGCTCTAAGTCATCCCCTGCTTCTCAGAAAAGTCTGGGGTTGACAGGAAGAGTAAGAATTTGTCCCCCAGCCGCTAAATTATATTGGTCCAGATTCACCCATGTTGAAGTTCCTCGTGCTCTCCTCTTATGAGTGCATATGTGGGCGCTAGGCTGCCCTGGGAACAGGAGGAGGCAGGAGTGGAGTGGGGGCAGGAGATATGGACAGGAGCGTGGACGTGAGGATTAGGTGCTGGCGGACTGAGACTGAGGTTAAGACAGCCACAGCCCTAGTGAGGGGGTGGGGGGTGCTGCCGAAGTCCCTGCAATCAGAGGAGGCTGAGAGGATCAGAAGAGGCACAGGAGAAGGATCTGTACAGGCAGGGCCACATCTCCTCCTGCCAGCCTCACAGCAGAGCTGGGCACAGGTCTGGGGTCACCAGGGCTCAGAGCGCATGTGCCAAGCAGATAGAATCTCTGTAGAGGACAGAGACAGGCTAATACATCGGTGGGTGAAGGGCAACTGGCTTAGGCAGAATGAAGTACACAGATGGTTGGACTGTTCCCTGCGGGCTAGAGTGAGAAAACTTCCTGGAGGAGGCAGACTTGGGGAGGGGAGTGAACCACAGCAGAATGCGTCCCTGGATGTTGGTGCTGAGGAAGGGCACTGGACCAGGAGCCAGATGACTCCATTGTAGTCCTGGTTCTTCCAGGGGGTTCCTGCAGGTTCCTTCCCCTCTCTGGGCCTCAGCTATGCCATGTATGTACTGAGCCCTTGGCCTCAGTGGTTTCTAATGGACAGTCTAATTCCAGTGTGCTTGGTCTTTAAACCAGGAATGCTTGGAGGACGCCAGACTATACGTGATACAGGGGCTTGGAAGAGAGGAGCCCACTCAGGCTTTAGGAAGTCCCAGGGCTCCAAAGGGCCTTGTGTGCTGGCACCCTAGGAGGTGGGAGACAGCAGAGTCCTAGGGTGTCCCAGCTGGAGGGAGCTGTGCAGGTGTGTGATGTGTAGACCAAGGCCTGGTGACTTCTAGTGTGGCTGGACAGAGTGGCTTCCCAGGGAACTGCAACCAAGCAGGCTGCAGGGATGGGATTCTGGGCCATCCGTGATGGGCACTGAACAAGGGGCCCTGGCTCAGCCAAGCAGTTCAGTCCCGATAGTGACCAGGAGATCAGTGTGTGGAAACTGAGGCAGCACCCCAGATGTAGAGACTTTGTCATCCCAAGGGTGAGGAGAGGCTATAATGAGAAGTGGGAATAAGTCCCCACTGGTACAAAGGGATTCACTGGTGCTTGGGGGCTGCAGAGCCCCCTCCCCTTAGCAGGGCCAACTGCTAAGTTGGCCTTGGAGGGGCAGAGCCTGGAGGTGGAGGCCTGAGGACTCCAGCCAGCAAGGCTGAGGAGGCAGAGGCTGATCTGACTTCCCTTCACATTTACAGATGGGTCGAGTGAGAAATCAGCTGAAGAGAACACCACACAGTCACACCGCGGGGTGGTGAGTGCCCAGCTTTACTGCCTGGGTGGGGAGAGGAGGTGAGGCGGGCTGGGGTCCAGGGCCTAAGTCTCCATGACTCTAGAGCAAGCAATAGTAGTTACTGTCCTCATTTCTCAGTTGTCCCCTGGGTCAGCTGCATCAGCCCCACCATGTCCAGCCCCTGCTCCTAGCCTCCCACCATGGCTCCCATCAGGACTGATGGGCCAGGAGGGGCCGAGGAAAAAGCCCCAAACAAGCAGGAGCAGGCCCCACACTTGCCGATTTCCCTCCTGGGAAATTCTTTGACACTGTCCCATCCACAGCCTGTGTCTGTCCTTATTCAGGCCATCTCTGAGCAGCAGGATCCCCTGAAGGGCATGGCCTCTGATTTGGGTCAGACTTCCCCACCTAGCTCCAAGGTGCTGGCTCTTTGTCTGGGAGCTACCACTCTGTCCCCAGCCCCCTCTTGGACCCTTTCAGTCTTAGTCTAGAGTTAACATAAGCTAAACTGCCCAGCTCTCTCTGGTTGGAGTGGAAAGAGGAGGGAGAATGGACTCACATGCTGACTCAAGTGCCCCCTCCCCCACATCTGTGCTGTCTGTCTGCAATGTGAACAACGGCACCTGCTCTTGCAGCCTGGGTCACCTGGGCCCTGGGGGACTGGAGGCTGGGCTCCCCTTCCCCGAGACTCCCCAGGGGCCTGACTGATGAGCTCCCCTTCTTCTCTGCCAACTCATCCCCTTCCCAGCCGGGCCTTCTCAGATGGGGGCCTCCTGTGCTGCAGAACCTGAGCCGGCCGTCCCCTTTCCTTCGAGTCCTCGCCCAGGAAGGCAGTGTGCTAAGTGAAACCTACCCAGGCTTAGTTCTAGGCCCTGAGCAGCTACTGGCTGGGTGATGTGGGCAAGTCACCATTTGGGGGTTGGGCTCTTCCGAGTCCTTCTTGCCTCTATTCCACCTGACAAGCACTTCTAGGGTCCTCCTAGGGGTCTGGGCGTGTGCCGGCACCTGAGACCCAGTGTATGCTTCAGGAGCTCTTGTGGGTTCAGTCCAGACATAAAGGACCAACTGAAACTGTACCGGGCAGGAAGGGGCTGTAGAAGAAGGAACGTGAGTGATTTGGGGTCAGTGAGGTGGGTTGAAATCCTGCCACTTGCTCCCAGACCACTTGCTCCTCTCCCGCGGCCGAGAGCTGCCAATCCCCACACTAGGAGCTTCGGAGCCCCTGCCCCATACACTCCCCTCACCGCACACCTTCTGCTATCGCTGCCAGCCCTCCCAGCAGGTCTGGAGGGGCAGGGGCTCCAGAGCTCAGGAAAGGGGGCCTCTGAATGGGCCTGCTCCTCATCTTCCTGTTCCATGGGATTCTGATGGGACCTTCAGCGGCCTGTCTCCTGGTCCCCTCACCTGAATCTCCTCAGACAAAGAGGAATTTCCTGACCCTCATCCTCACTACAGTGTCACATTCTATCTCTTAAATGTTAAGTCCTCCAGGTCCCTAATCACTAATGTCACCTAGATAAAGCCTCATACCCTCTGCCCACTCAGCCCCAAGGCACCCGCTCTGACAGGGCTAAGAAGGGCTTGGTGGAGGCTAGATCTCCAAAGTAGTCTCCCTCGAGTTTCCAAGGATCCATTGTCTGAGCATATCTTAGGCCTCATCCAGGTCTTCCTTCGGTCCCTAGTCTGCGCCCTCTCCTCACTGGGAAGTCATGCTGGTGTCTACCCTCAGGCCGCTCACTGCAGCCTGTCTTGCCACTCTTTCCCTGGCAGTGGCCCATCAGTGATCTCCATCCTTCCTGTCCTTTGCAGAGGCATTCTCAGGATCCCTGTTCAGGTGACAGTGGGAGAAAAAGGGGCCTGGGCACCCCGGCCCCCACTGGGCTCAGCTCCTCTCTGGGCTTCATTCCTCGCCACTTCCGACCGAAGGGGGCAGGCAGCACTACAGTCAAGATCGTCCTGAAGGAGAAACACAAGAAAGGTGGGGACTGGAACCTCCTTCAACCCCTGAGGTGGGACAGGGGGACCCGGACTGCTCCTACCCCCGACTCCTGTACCCCGACTCAGTGAGTCTCCAATCTCAATTTGCTGTGAGCTTATAGACTCATAGAACATCAAAACTGAAGGTGCCCTCTAGTCCCTCCACCTTTGACAGGTGAGGACACTGAGGCTCAGAGTACTGACAGAACCAGTCTCGAAACTGGAACTGTGGGTCAGCACAACCACGAGCATCTGCCACGACTTTGCTGGGAACTGAGGAGCACAGACCAGAGTGGCGAAAAGTGGTCCCTGTCCTTGAGGGGCTCCAGACATGTAAATAATCGCCACTCCCAAAGGAAGTGCTGGCAGAGAGTTTTTGAAAAAGGAAGGAGCAAGCAGAGCTGGGCTGCCGGAGGACAGTCCAGGTGGAACGGGGAGGGAAGCCACGCGGGCAGCCACGGCAGCAGTGGGAGGGCACTCTGACTGGCGGTGGAGGGGAGGTGGCTACAGAGGCATCTGTCCCAGCCCTTTTTTGTACAGATGGGACACTGAGACTGAGAAATGGGAAGGGATCAGCCAGAGCTTGCATACCCAGGTAGTGGCAGGTCTCCCACTGTGAGGCCATCCCCCTCCTTGCTCCACCAGAGAGGCCGGTGAGGGTGGGAGGAGAACTCTCTGTCTTCAGTGAGTCCTTACTGGGCACACCTCAGTGCTGAGTACTGAGATGGCGGGATGTCAGGGACGTGGGACCGGTTTTGTACCCTGGCCTCCACTTCACTGGCAGTGTGGCTGGGCCAGACTGGTGGAGCAGGGCCTCCCCAAGGCCCCACCCCGACCTACTACTGGACTCTGGCCAGGGTCCAAGGCACTGACCCTGCTCCCTTTCTGCCCTTCTTGGCTCAGCCTGCGTGCATGGCGGGAAGACATACTCACATGGGGAAGTGTGGCACCCAGCCTTTCGCTCCTTTGGACCCCTGCCCTGCATCCTGTGCACCTGTCAGGACGGCCACCAGGACTGCCAGCGGGTGACCTGCCCCACTGAGTACCCCTGCCATCACCCCGAGAAAGTGGCTGGAAAGTGCTGCAAGGTTTGCCCAGGTACGAAGAGATGCTGGGGGCAGGGGGCACTAGCCGGAGAGAGCATGGGGATTCTCTCCCCAGGGCTCAGCCACTTGGGACGTCTCTGACAGGGATGGAAAGCGGACTCACAGCCACAGAATGCAGCAGTTTTAGATGCACAGAATGTTAGAAGCAGCCGTGGAAAATGCCAGGCTTATAATATATTACTGTGGAACCATCTTATGTTACAGAGACAGATTCGGAGGCCCTCAGACATATATACATGGACTCAAATAGTGTTCTGGGTTCTGTGAAGTCTTAGGATATCAGGACTTTTTAAAGAAGAATAGCCAATGTTTCCCAAGCACTTGCCAGGTAGGCATTTTGCAGGCATGAGTTCACGTAATCCTCACCACGACGGACAAGGCAGGTATCTGTCTCCATTCCAAAGAACAAGAAGATAAATACCTTGTTCTAGGTCACATAGCTCACTGTGAGTGACAGAGCTGGGATTTGAACCCTCGTCTGTCTGACTGCAAAGACCATACCCTTGACCTCTGTTGTTTTCCTTCAACCCTCATCTGCATATGGGAGAACTGAGACCCCGAGAAGAGAAGAGACTTCCTAAGTCATACAGCAAAGTAGTAGTGGAGCTGGACCCAGAACTCAGGCTTCTAGACTTGCTGGCTGAGTGCTTTCGACAATGTCATGTGACCCTAGGATTAGCGAGTGCGAAGGGGACATCCGGGCATCTCGTTGAGAAGCGTAGCTGGTGTGAGGGGCAGGCTGTCCCCTGCAGCAGGTGGGGTGGAAGGTGCAGGGTGAGGTTGTGCCCTGACCGCATCTTGTTCCAGGGCTGGGTTGGAAAAGCTGAAAGGAGAGGAGTGGGGAAGAAAAGGAGGAGGGAAAGATGCACTGAGAATGTAGTAGTGCCAGGTGGTGTCACGTATGTCATTTAATTCTCACAACTCACTGATTTAACAAATGACGTAACCGAGTGTCTGCAATCACCCTAGGTCTCCACCGACCCGGCATTTAAAGTCGGGAAACTGGAGTGTGCACTCACTTGCGCACCGACCGGCTCGTCTAACTCACTGTTGTGAGCTTGGGCGAGTCGCTTTACCTTTCTGAGGTTCAGACGCAGAGTCGTTGAAAATGCTTCATGAATTGTACATCGGTATCCAAACAAGAAATAATTATTATTTGTCAGAGTAATATGCTGTTGGGACAGGGTCAGGGAGGGAGCATGACAGGATTGTGCCTGGACCCCAGGGGCGAGGGGACAGGGCTCAACTCGGATTCGCCATGAGCCTGGCTGAGGCTCGCCCCTGGGCTGCTTCGCAAACACACCTGGTCTTGGGCCCTGCCACCAGCACCCAGTCCATTTCCTCTGAAAATATCGAGACTGTGGCAGCTCTTAGCTGGACATCTCTAAGGCTTCATAACTAGTAAGAGTCTAGAAGAAGGCATATATAGGGACTTAGCCCTTCGGTCCCTGAAAAACAGTCAGGGAATGTTGGTACATGGGAAGCTCTGGAGAATGTTCTTGGAATTCCGGCATGTCAGAGCTTTAAGACTGTATCCACTTTGGCACCAAACAACATCTGCACCACCCCCCACACCTCCACCCTCACCCCCCCTGCCCCCCCACCACTACAGTTGACACATCATGATCACCCCTACCACCTCTTCTACCACCACAGCCACCGTCAGCATCACTGCCATCACCCCCTCCAGCCCTCGCAAACCTTCAAGGTGTGCATGTCCTTTGAGAGCCTGTGCTTGCTGTGAGTGACTCAAAAGACTTGGAGGACATGGTTCCTACTCTTCACTGGGTGGGTCTCTTTTAAAGAGAAAACACGCCCAAGTGAAGCAACGCAAGGCAGTGTGCGGTCAAGGGCATGTGGGCTGCCTGGAGGAGGTGAAAGATGAGCTGGGTCCTGAAGGGTGGGGACTTTTCTGATATGCTAATCAATGGGGGTGAACGGGGGAGATGCCCCCTCTCTCTTCCCCAGAGACCTCCTTCTCTTCCCAGGGCACCAGACGTTTCCCAAGGACCGTAGAGACCCTGAGGGGGATGTCAGACCAGTGGCCCCTCTTTCTGAGCCTACAGGGGTGGGGAGACAGAGCATTCACAAGCTCCTTGTCTCTCCCAGAGGACAAGGCAGACCCTGGCCACAGTGCGATCAGTGCCACCCGGTGTCCGAAGGCGCCGGGCCGGGTCCTCGTGCACACATCAGTGTCCCCACATCCAGACAACCTGCGTCGCTTTGCCCTTGAGCGTGAGGCCTCTGAGCAGGTGGACATCTACCTCTGGAAGCTGGTAAAAGGTGAGCATCAGCATACTCCCAGCTAGGTGTACCTCTGACCTGTCCCCCTTCCTGAGCTCCAGGCCCTTCAGGGGCCTTATGGCCACGTTTTGTTGATCAAGTGCCTTTGGCCCAGGAAGACTTGTCCCTGGCCACCCTTCCAGAGAGTCCCTGATTCCGAGATAGAAAAGATGCTGATTCTGTCTGATTCTCTGACAGTTCTGATAAACTCACCTACTCTGAGATGCTGGGGCCTCCAAGTGCTCCCTCTCCTGGGGGGAAGGGGTAGTTGCACCTTGCAAGGAGTCAGGACAGACTCATGCCTACCCTGATGAGAGAGAGAATGTCCCTTGGTAGAATTCCAGCTTTTTGCGAGGGGAGGTCTACTAAGGTGGGAGGGCCCTCGCAGCGTCCTCAAAGCAGGAGAGCCTCGAGGCTAGTTTCATTTAGTCTCTTCAATACTGTAGATTCTCTCTCTCCAAGGTAAGTTAAAATCAGAATATATTTCTCGTCCTGTGAGAAACTTACCCTATTCAACAGGCTACTTGTGTCGCCACATGAAAGTCAAGAGCAGCTTTCATTGATGGGGAAATTGCTGAGAGTTCCATTTTCCGGCTCTCTTGAGAAACGTAAATCCCCTCAGTGCAGTAAAACCAACTAAACCTTTACCTGTAAATTAGTTCTGCGGTCACTTTTCTCACTGACGGGTTTGGCTGGGGGGGTGGTGGTGAAAGAGGGGACAATAAGAAGGAGTCAATAAAGGGATAATAAGAATAATGACAATGACAAAAACCAATGTGTGAAACACTTTAGAATTTACAAAGTGCTTTCACTTTCATTCTCGCGTTTGATACTCAGCGATCCTGAGAGTTAGGTATTATTATCCCCATTTTACAGATGAGGAAACTGAGGCTCAGAGAGGTGAAGTACCTGGCTCAAGGCCACACAGCCAGTAAGTAGAGAAACTAGAGCCCATGTCTTGTGACGTCAGATGCGGCTCTTTCCCTGCTCCACTCTGCCCGCTGACATAGGAGGAATGGACGAAGAAGGCGGAGCTGTCCAGCCTGGAGAAGAGAAGACCCAGGGGGACAGGACCACCGGCTTCCTGGCTCCGAAGGACTGCCCCAGGCAGAGGGAGCAGCTGTGCTCTGACCACAGGGGTTAAAAAGCAGGGCTTCAGACTCAGACCTGGGTTTAAATCCCGGCCCTGCCATTTCTTAGCTGTGTGGCCTTGGGCAATCACTCGACCTCTCTGGGCCTCGGTTTTCTCTTCTGTTAATTGGGGAGGAGGGCTTTTGGAGGACTAAATGAAATAGCAGAAGTACAGGCCCTGACATATAGGGGGTGTTAACAATGTCACTATCCTTCTCATCCCACCTCATTAACTCTGGTTAGAAATACAGTGAAGCCGGTTTCAGCCAATGAGAGGAAACACTTTCTCATCCTTACAGCCTTTCTTTGATGAAGAGAGGGAGCAAACTCCATTCACAGGAGTGTGCAGACAAGGGCTGGGTGGGGGTTCTTCCAGAAGCTGAGGAGTAACCCTTATAATCCTTTTGTACCTTGAGATTCCATCAGTCCCTGGGCAGGTGCTGGCTGCAGGTTCACTCTAGGACTCTCCTCCCAACTCCTACCATGTACTGGGACCAGAGAGAACAGTCCTTCAGGGACCTGGCTGCAGCAAGAGCTCACCTCATGGAAGATGAGCCTGGGGCTGGACAGGGTTTAGAAAGGCACGAGGGGACACTGCAGGCAGGGTGCAGCAACAGCCGCACACTCTGGTTCTAGGCCCACGCTTATATGCCCTGTGCTCTGTGATCGGCGTGTAGTGGGCACAGGGTATGATGTGCTTCATTTAATCCACGTAAGGAAACGGGGGGGGGTGTATCAATGCCCCATTTCTCAGATAAGAAAACTGAGTCTGAGAGGTAAAATGACTTGCTCAAATTCACACAGTTGAAGCAATAAAGACTAAAGTCTAGTTCTGACTCTCCCTAGTGCTGCCACCACAGAGGTGAACTCATTCTTTCAGGGAGCTGCCTGAGGAAGGTCGAGGTGTGCCTGGAATGGTGCAGGGGCGAGTCTCATTACCGCCAGGCCCAGCAGAAGAGAAATGAAGTGGGGTGGTGTGGGGGCTTTTCCCCTTCACAGTGCCAGGCCCTGCCATTCTGTCCCTCCCCATCTCCTAACCCCCAGGGTGGCCTCACTGCCCTTCCAGTTCCCATTGCCTCCCCATCCCTAACCAAAGGAATCAAACACTTTCAGGGTGAGATTGTCGGTAGGAAACCTGCACTGTTCTCTCACACAGAAGAGTGGAAACTGCAGGCCTCAGGGGCTGGAAGAGGGAGGGGAGAATTGGTCTGGAGACAAAGCAAGCAGGTGGCTGTTGCAACCTGGGCTAATTGAGGCCACAGCACACCAGGGGTGGGGGGTGCGGAGCCCCAGACTCCAGAAGCTGAACAATTGGCTGAGGGCTGAGAGCCTTTTAGATTCTGGCGTTCCAGAGTAAAAAGGACCTTAGGGGTCTCAATTCTGACCCCTACCTGGGAAGGAAGTCCCCCTGTGGTCTCCTTGATGTCTCTAGTGCCCATATGCCCAGACAGGGGATTGACTTCCAGCACCGAGGATGGCTCTGCACAGGGAGATGGCTCTGCACTGAGCTGAGTGAGCCTGTCCTATTTCCTGGGACTTACCTACCAGGTGCCACCTCTGCCCTGAGAATCCACAGAGTCCCGCTACCCTCATACCAGCTCTTGATTCCAGGCCTGAGAGCTGGTCCTCTGAATCCTGCTTCACAGGCCACAGTGCGGGACCCACCTGCACCTGTTACCTCCTATCCAGTGTGTGTTTTGGGGTGTGTGCAGGTGCAGACCTGGGGCAGAAGGACCCAACCCTATCTCGTGCTTGTGATACACCCTGGGCCTTTCGAGTGAGTCTCTCCCACATCCTGGTCCTTGGCACCTAGGCTGGGGATCCCAAGGACATTTCTGGCCACCTGGACCTTAATCTCAGAGTCTGTACTGTCCACAGCCCTTGATGGGCTCCCACTCAGATTCCCATAAGCAAGGCCAGTTCTTGGTTTCCTTGAGGGCGGTGCTGGCCTAGCAGAGGCCTTGCTGTCACATCTGTTCTTTCTGGCCACAGACCCTGGTGGTAACAGCTGGTGCGACCTCACAGCCCATGTGTGCAAGGCCAATTCTATGTGTGGTGCCAGTGGCCCGCTCCCCATGGAATGCAAACATCAGGAGATCCAGAATAATACCTCATCCCCTCCAGAGCCCAGCCTAGACTGGGTACACATGTATTTGCTTATCCAGACAGCCAGGGATTCATTCATTCATTCATTCATTCATTTGTTCATTCATTCATTCTACATGCCTAATGTGGACCAGGTTCAGGGGACCCAGAGAGGAAAGCCCTCCAGGAGTTCCCAGTCTGGTAGGGGAGACGAGAATAGACATAATGATAGCACATTAGAAATAGATACAATCACCAGCAGAAGCCAAGAGCTGTGGGTAATTACAATTTCTTCTTTGGGATCTGAGGAGAAAGGTAGTTATAACTACCAGATGGAGTGGGGGGCAAAGGAAGTCTTCGGGTGAAGGCTTGAAGGATGAGTAAGAGTTCACCTGGCGGCAGTAGGAGAAGGAGTTCCAGAGTTGGGGCGGCGTGTGGAAAGGCCCCTCCAGGGTCAAGTGGTTGGCTAGGGCTGGAGCACAGGCAAGGCCACTGAGGGCTGGTGAACTGTGCCGGAAGGGAGCTACAACTCTGATGCTTATTAGTGTTTTCGTGTCTGAATAAGCACGCCTACTGATTTTTATCGTACGTTCTGTGCTCAGAAAAAGAGCTTGACTAGTTCATGCCTGGCAGCTTCCCTCCCTCCGTCCTCCCTTTCCACCTCCCTCGACCCTCCCGTCTACACCGTGGACAGGTGAGTGGTGGGAGCCCAGGACAGTGATGGCGACAGGAGCAGGGCCGGCAGAGGTGATGGGAGGTCTGGGCAGGGGAATAACAGGGAAACGGGTATTTTCCAGTGACAGCAGGTGGAATCACAGGTTAAAAGGGGATTGAAAAAGTAGCCAGAGTGCAGTGACTCAGGCAAGATGTGGTGAGGCCCGAATGGGGGGAGTGGCAGTGGGGACCGGAGAACAGATTCCAAAAATTTAGGAAACTTAGTCCACGGGAGTTGGTGTCTGAACAGAATAGGGGAGGGGAGGGGATGTGACAGGATCCCTTCCAAGTCTAAGTCACCCCATTTCCCTGATCCGTGGCCCTGCCTATTCTGTTCATACCCTGTCTCTGCCCTCAGGAATCTTCCACTTGATTCAGATCAAGAAAGTCAGGAAGCAAGACTTCCAGAGGGAGGCACAGAACTTCCGGCTGCTCACCGGCACCCACGAAGGTGGGACTTGGGGCTGAGACTGGGGCCTGGGAAGAGGGCCTGGTGAGAGGCCAGGGCCTCTCCGGGAGTTTCAAGCTGCTGGTGGTGGTTGCGGGGATGGGGGTGGGGGCTGTGAGCCGCAGACAACAGTTCCCGGCACAGGAATCCAGTGGGCGGCTGCGCCAGAGATTTCTCAACTCTGGTGCATAACAGCCGGAGGATAAAGCAGAGCCTGCTGGATTTCGTCTTGGGATGGGGGACACAGGGCTGCAGGGAGGGAGGTCTGAGCACCAAACCATGCTGCCTCTGCCCTCTCTACTGGAACATTTCCCCTCGGAACTCTCTTAACGACTTCCTTCTGATGCCCTTAATTTGCTCTATGCCACACTGAGGAAGATTGGACCCAGGTGGGGCTTCAGGCGGGGGAGAAGTCATGGACGGGAGTGTCCCCAACAGGTGTCAGGAAGCCAGCCCAGCCCCCAGTTGTCTCCCCAGTTGTTGGTTGGTTGAAGGCGGGGTCAGGTGCCAGATCTGATCCAGACATGAGGGTGTGATGGGGACACCCGCCACCTTCCCCTCTGGGCTCCAAACCCAGGGCTGCGCTGTCTTCCTTGCCCTGTGTGTCCTACACCAGCCACTCTGCCTCTGCTGTGCATACACATACACACACACACACCACACACCCCAGCACCTACACCCGAAACTCTTCTGCTTTCTTTCATGCAGGTCACTGGAACGTCTTCTTAGCCCAGACCCCGGAGCTGAAGGTCATGGCCAGTCCAGACAAAGGGACCAAGACCTTATAACAAAGACCTAAACCGTTGCAGATATGAGCTTTATCATTTTTGTTGTTATATATTAATAAATAAGTTGCATTACCCCTGCGTCCTGCCTGCTGAGTTCATATCCAGTCTCCTCACGTTCTCACAGTGACTGCGAGGCAGGCCTGGCTATCCCCGTCTTATAGGGCTGGACCCTGAGACGCAGAAGGGGCAGAGACTGGCCACTGCCCTCAAGGGAAGCTGTTACGGGAGCAAGGGCTAGTTCCCCCCAGCCTTCCCGCCCAGGCTCTAGTCTGCCTAGTCTGCCGCTGCGGCCTCTGCCCTGTTGATACCGCTTTTGTCCACAGCCCCGAGGCAGAGCACCTCCTGCTTTTATGGGCAGCCCCCTCCGGAGCGTGCGAGCCTACGAAGGGGGCCTGACTCCAGTTAGCCAGCGGAGTGGCTGAATAGAGCCTCAGAGCACTTTCCCAGCAGATATTCCAGGGATTCCTACAATTGTCAGCCACGCTTCACAATGAGGAAGCAGAGTTTAGGGGGGAGCAGTCCCCTGTCTGAATTCACTGGGCGGAGTTAGCGGTGGGCACGGTTAGCGGCACACCGAGAAGCGGATGCCGGGTCTCCTGCTCTAGGCGAGCACTCCCCCCCATTCTACCATGACCCGTGTTCTCAGCCCAAATATTCTCATCTCGGAAGACTCCTAAGACTTGGCAGTCAGATTGCAAGCCCTGGCACCATGGTCTGAGGAGAAGGCCTAACAGTTCAGTTACGATTAAAGACAGCATCCGCCACGTATCTGTATCCTGCCCACGTGTACAGTTCCTTGCGATATCAAAGCTGTTTTGATGCCCATGATCCCACTTACGGTGAACAGTGTAAGGATTACACCATTTTATTTTACTTTAAGATATTAATTAATTAATTAATTAATGTTTATATTCCACCTCCTCTCCTTTGGCAATCATCACCTTGTTCTCCATATCTATGGGTCTGTTTTGTTTATTACTTTCTTTTTTTACATTCCACATGTAAGTGGAATCATATGGTATTTCTCTTTCTCTGTCTGACTTAGTTCACTTAGCATAACACCCTCTAGGTCCATCCATGCTGTCACAAATGGCAACCTTTCTTTCTTCCTTTCTCTTCCTTCCTTCCTTCCTTCCTTCCTTCCTTCCTTTCCTCTCTTTCCTTCCTTCCTTCCTCTTTATTTCCTTTCTCTTTCTCTCTCTTTCTTTCTGCTGAATAATATCCATATATGTACCACATCTTCTTTATTCATTTATCTGTTGATGGACACTTAGGTTGCTTCCATATCTTGGCTATTACTAGTAAAACTGCAATGAACATAGGGGTGTATATATCTTTTCAAATTAGCATTTTTGTTTTCTTTGGGTAAATACCCAGAAGTGAAATTGTTGGATCGTATTGCAGCTCTGTTTTTAATTTTTTGAGGGATATCCATACTGTTTGCTATAGTGGCTGCACTAATTTACAGTCCCACCAACAGTGTATGAGAATTCCTTTTTCTCCACATCCTTGCCAACACTTACTTGTTGGTTTATTGATGATGGCCATTCTGACAGGTGTGAAATGATATCTCATTGTGGTTTGAATTTGCATTTCCCTGATGATTAGTGATTTTGAGCATCTTTTCATATATCTGTTGGTCATCTTTGTATGCCCTCTTTGGGGAAATGTCTGTCTAGGTCCTCCGCCCATTTTTAAATTGAATTGTCGAGGGTTATTTGGTGTTCAGTTGTGTGAGTTTCTTATATATTTTGGATATTACCCCTTATCAGATGTATTATTTGCAAATATCTTCTCCTATTCAGTAGGTTGTCTTTTCATTTTGTTGATGGTTTCCTTTGCTGTGCAGAAACATTCTAGTTTTGCCCTGGCTGGTGTGGCTCAGTGGAATGAGCACCAGCTTGCAAACCAAAGGTTCCCGGGGTTGATTCCCAGTCAGGGCACGTGCCTGGGTTTCGAGCCAGGTTGGCCCCCAGTAGGGGGAGTGCAGAGGCAACATTGATGTTTCCCTCTCTTTCTCCTTCCCTTCCCCCTCTCTAAAAATAAATAGATAAATAAATATTTTTTAAAAAGAAATAAGTTTGATGTAGCCCCATTTGTTTATTTTTTCTGCTTCTCTTGCCCAAGAAGACATATCCAAGAACATATTGCTAAGACCAATCTCAAAGAGTTTACTCTTTTGAGTACTGCCCTGGCCAGTGTGGCTCAGTTGGTTGGAGCACCATCCCATACACCAAAATGTTGCAGATTTGGTCCCAGGTCAGGGCACATACCTAGGTTGTGGGTTTGATCCCTGGTTTGGGTGTGTATGCTAGGCAACCAATTGATGCTTCTCTCTCATAAAAACATATTTTTTTAAAAAAAAGGGTTTACTGCCTATGTTTTCTTGTGGGAGTCTTGTGGTTTCAGGTCTTACATTCAAGTCTTTAATTCACTTTGAGTTTATTTTTGTATTTGGTGTAAGAAATTGGTCCAATTTAAAATTTTTACTTGACTCTGTCCAATTATCCCAACATCATTTATTTAGGGGACTGCCTTTATTATATATCCTTGCTTCCTTTGTCATAAATTAATTGACCAGATAAGCAAGGATTGATTTCTGGGCTCTCTATTCTATTCCATTTATGTATATATCTGTTTTTTTTATGTGAGTGCCGTAAAGTTTTTATTACTGTGGCTTTGTAGTATAGTTTGATATCAGTGAACATGATACCTCCCAGTTTGTTCTTTCTCAAGGTTTCTTTGGCTATTCAGGGTCTTTCGTGGCTTTATATAAATTTTAGGATTAGGTGTTCTAATTCTGACAAGCATGCTGTTGGTATTTTCATAAGGATTGCACTGAATCTGTATATTGCTTTAGTAAGGACATTTTAACAATATTAATCCTTCCAACCCATGAGCATGGTATATCCTTCCATTTCTATGTATCCTCTTTAATATCTTTTCCAATATCTTCTGTCTCTCACCTTTTTAGTTAAATTTATTCCTAGGTACTTTATGCTTTTTGATGCAATTGTAAATGGCATTTTTTTCTCAGTTTCTCCTGCTGTTGATTTGTTACTGGTGTATAGAAACACAACAATATTGCTACTCCAGCTTTCTTTTTATTTCTGTTTACATGCACTATGTTTTCCAGTTCCTTCTCTTCAGTCTGTGTGTGTCAGCATTTAATCCTTTTACATATAAAGTGATTATTGATAACTATGTCATTGTTGCCATTTTATTAATTGTTGGAATTTTTTGTTGTTCTCTGTTTCTTTCTTTTTTTCTTGATCTCTTGTGGTTTTCTGTATTTTGTTTTGTTTTTAGTGTTTTGTTTGGGTTCCTTCCTCTTTTTTCTTTGTATATCTTTTTAGGTTTTTTGTTGATGGTTACCATGAGGTTTATGCATATTATTCTATATCTACAGCTGTCTATTTTAAGCTGATAGTCATTTAAGTTCGAGTACATTCTGTAAGGACTACGTTTTTCCTCCCTCTGCCACACTTTTCGGTTCTGTTGTCATCTTTTAGATCTTTTTATGTTGTGCATCTCCTAACTGCTCATTGTAGTTTGAGCTGATTTCGATACTTTTTTCTTTTGATTTTCATAGTAGTTTTTTAAATGTCTGATTCACTGTATTTATTGAATATTTGGCTTTACCTGTGAGACTTTTACCTTTTCTCTACTTTCTTATTTCTAGGTATGGCTTTCCTTTTCTGTTTAAAGGAGACCTTTTAACATTTCTTGTAAAGCTGGTTTAATGGTGATTTACTCCTTTAGTTTTTTCTTGTCTGGAACACTTTTTATCTCTCCCTCAATTATGAATAATAACCTTGCTGGGTAAATTATTCTAGGTTGTAGGTTTCTTTCTTTCAGCATTTTAAAAATGTCCTGCCACTCCCTCTGGCCAGTAGAGTTGCTGAGAAATCAGCTGAAAGTGTTATGGTGTTTCCTTGGTATACAATTCGACGTTTTCCTCTTGCTTCCTTCAAGATTGTCTCATATTTAATTTTTGCTATTTTAATTACAATATGTCTTGTTGTGGTTCTCTTTGGATTCATCTTCTTTGGGACTATCTCTGCTTCCTGGACCTAGATACCTGTTTCATTTTCCAGGTTAGGAAAGTTTTCAGCTATTAAAGTGTCTGTTTCTTTCTCTCTTTTCCTTTTAGAATCCCTATAATGTGTATGTCTGACCTCATCATGTTATCTCAGAGGCCCCTTACTCTGTCATTGTTTTTTAAAATTCTATTTTCTTTTTGCAGTTATGATTGGTTGGTTTCCACTAGTTTGTTTTCCAAGTCACTGATCCATTCTTCTGTGTTAGCTGATCTACTGTTGGTTGCTACTAATGTTTTTTTTTAATATATTTTATTGATTATGCTATTACAGTTGTCCCAATTTCCCTTCACTCCCCTCCACCCTGCATACCCTCTCCCACCCACATTCCCCCCCTTTACTTCATGTCCCTGTGTCATACATGTAAGTTCTTTAGCTTCTACATTTCCCATACTACTCTTACCCTCCCCCTGTCTATTTTCTACCTACCATCTATGCTACTCATTCTCTGTACCTTTTCCCCTTCTCTCCTCCCCCCACTCCCTTGTTGATAACCCTCCATGTGATCTTCATTTCTGTGGTTCTGTTCCTGTTCTAGTTGTTTGCTTAGTTTATTTTGTTTTTGTTTTAGGTGTGGTGGTTAATTATTGTGAGTTTGCTGTCATTTTACTGTATATGTTTTTTATCTTCTTTTTCCTAGATAAATCCCTTTAACACGTCATATAATAAGGGCTTGGTGATGATGAACTCCTTTAACTTGACCTTATCTGAGAAGCACTTTATCTGCCCTTCCATTCTAAATGAAAGCTTTGCTGGATAAAGCAATCTTGGATGCAGATCCTTGCCTTTCATGACTTGGAATACTTTTTTCCAGCTCCTTTTTGCCTGTAAGGTCTCTTATGAGAAATTAACTGACAGTCTTATGGGCACTCCTTTGTACGTAACTCTCATTTTGTCTCACTGCTTTTAAGATTCTCTCCTTATCTTTAATCTTGGGTAATGTAATGAT